CTGATGTCTTAGTGAGCTCATTTTTGAACTGTGCATTTTTATTTTTTTTTTTTTTAAGCCTCATATAATATTTTTGAGTGCATGGTGGTCTTGCAGTGAAAAACACTAATACAAAGCTACACAAGGCACATTGGAGGACACTAAAGCAGAACTAATTAAAATGTACAATGACTTGCATGGCAATCAGCTCAATTTCATTCCTCCCAGTTTGCAAACCACACCCTCTACTAGTTATAGACTAGTGACTTGCTGACAAGTAGTTGATGAAAAAGTCTGGTAAAAAAACCTAAGATAGTACTCAGTGGAGAGACTGAAACACTTCAAAGAATTCGTAAGTCTTTTTTAGTATATCTGTAGTTGAAGATGTGTCCTCATGTCATCAGAAATCATAGTTAAATAAATGTAGCTTTTGGAAAACCCGTAAAGAAGAAACGGTAATCTAAGTTTACGCAAAATAGCTGAATATGCAAATGAAGGTCATAAACTTTGTTGAAAATATTGATTTCTTGTTTGAGAAACTGGTGTAATATGCTGAATTATGCTATGACAGTCTTTATAGTCTCAAAGTCTGTTTCAGAACGGTTATATGCCAGTCTCTGTTTACATTCTGAACTATAAGTCCTCTATATTTATTATATGAACTCATAGCAAAACATTTTGCTGGTTTAAAATCGGGTTTATGGGCTTTTTGAAAAAATAATGCTCTAAACAGGCGATCTGATGGAAGGTGGGGTGGTAGTCTGAATCAGTGAGGAAACTGAACTCTTGGTATGAGGTTGCTGACTACAAAACTGTGTCATGTATCTGAGGACTTAAATATGCCTGTCTGCAAGGTCAGTAGTGTACAAAACTGCTCTGGATGTTCAACTGTAAAACTGCTTAATAAGACGTGTAGAAAAACATGATTATCTTTGAATGCCAAAAGGTTTGGGGGTTTTGTTTTGTTCTGGTTTGGGTTTGTTGGGGTTTTTGTTTGTTTGTTTGTTTGTTTTTCCTCCCCTAAAAAGTTCCCTTACAAAAGGCTGGGCTGGATAATAAAACAGCAGGTGAGATTGTCAATAAATAAAAAGTAATGCATGTGCAGAAGGGTGATGACAACCTCCAAAAGTATACATGCACATTTGTATGCACTTTATTAACTATTACTCCTAAGGAAAAAGGTATGAGAATCATCTTGAGGAGTTCTGTGAAAATAGCTTCCCATTCAGCATTTTGAAAGAGGAAAGAAAGGTTTTGAATTATTGGGGGGAGGGACGGGACACACAAACAAACAAAACAGAAAACAACATTACACCTTTGTATATACCCATGGTATCCTTGCATCTTGAATGCTGTAGTTTTAGTTTCTCCTCAAAAACATACTGTAGGATCAGAATAGTTACGGGATGTCAGTGAGGATAGTAAGGGTATTTCTCTGCAGACAGCCTCAGTACAAGGACAGAATAAATGAACCAGATTGCCTTAGTTTGGAAAGCACATGATTCATGTAAGATAAGAAAGAGACCTATAAATCATGGGTGATAAGGGGAAGAAAATACTGAATGATTTCTTTCAGTCTCTTTTGTACTAAATAAAATAGGGGCCCCTCAGTGAACTCGTGGTGCTTTAATTAAAACAGCATGCAAAGAAAAGAAAAACAATTAAACTCTTATTAAACATACCTTATGTGTTCTGTGGCAATAATTTCAACAGTTTATGGACACTAAGCATATATGTGTTCCAGAAAGAGACAGACCCATCAGTGACTATTAACAATGATTCAGATTAGCCATCAGCTCAGGAAACCTCTAAGCCATTTAGTACCAGAAGTTGGAGTTATCAATGTGTCCATACCTCGTGGCTTAATTTTTTTTCTCCAAGTGCTAGTAATAATTACAGGTGGAAGCAAGGGCCAAGACAGCCTTGGATCTGACCTGAGATTAGGATATGGGGGGAAATGGTGCGGACAGATGCAGAATCAGAGTGTTCATTCAAAAAGGCATCTTGATGAAACTCTGAAAGGATGTTAAACATGCAGAAGATACTGAATTGTGTGTCTGGAGATGTCTGTGAAAACTGAAGATGTATGATTTTTTCTTGTGCAGTGATAGAGATAGGGAAGGAGAAAGAAGGTGAAACACTGGAACAGGTTGCCCAGAGAGGTGGTAGATGCCCTATGCTTGGAAACATTGAAGGCCAGGCTGGATGGGGCTCTGAGCAACCTGATCTGGTTGTAGATGTCCCTGCCGCTTGCAGGGGAGTGGATTAGATGACCGTTAAAGGTCCCTTCCATCCCAAAACATTATATGTTTCTGTAAAAGAAAGAAGGAAGAGACTTTGATGTAATGTTATGCAGGCTATGGAAGGCAAGGAAAGGGGCTTAAGGTCTTCAAAGACACAAAAACTTGATCATGAGCGTGTAAATTTTTCAAGTCCATCTTTACCGAAATCTGTAAATAGATTGAAATCTGGTACTTTTTTTTTTTCCCCCCAGCAGTGCTCTGAAAAAACAGGTTTTTGTAAGCTTTCATGATATTTGCTGACTTTATACTGGATCTTGTATGGCTTTATTTGCAGTTGTTACAGTTATTTTCAGTATCCATTGGTATTTTTATGTGTTTAATCTGATTTCTTCTTGTCTAATACTTGGGACCTTATTATTTTCCTTTTTTCATTATAACTGTATATAGAAATTGTCAACCATATTTTGAATTCTTGATGGACGTGCTTAACATTTTGTCTATTGTATACATTTAAGCTTTTCTTAACTGAAGATTTAAAAATCCATCCAATCCTTTTCATCCACAAATGGAATCTAGAACATCCAGAAACACTGAAGCCCAGTTGCTTTAACAGTTGAGCTCACTTGCTTAAACAAAGTTTTCAAATAACTAATAGAATATGTCTTGTTAAAAATATTTTTTTAAATAAGGCTTTCTTTTTGAAAGTCAGCTTTTTTTTTTAGCCTGGAGCTCAGTCAATGCAGCTGAAATGTAAATAAAGGTTTTATGATATACATGTGGATAAATAAGGAAGACATAACTCAGGATGCACAATTTAGCCTTAATTCTGTCAATTGTCAATATAAAGTACTTTAACATAGTGGTTTTAATGCTCCTTTATATACACTTTCATGTGTCTGAGGAAAAAAACAGTTGAATAATCCCAGTCATTCCTCTTACTCTTGCCACAACCCTAATCCTCTATGATTCTTCTCTTCTGAATACTTCTTAATTTTTCAGCATTCTCCATAGTTCTGGAAAAAACATTCACCACTGCACTTTGCAGTGACATTATTGTTTAGTCTTCTTTCTGTATGTCCTAATGTCTTGTTTGCTTTTTAGTTTGTTACTTCCTTTACAGTCTTTATTGACTTGTGTATGTCGTTCTCCTATATCTTGATTAAGATAATCAAACCCCCGTAAGTTTGTATTGCTAATCCCAGGCTCCAGATATTTTAAGGACTCTAGACCATCCAATGTAAGTTAGTTTGCCTATATTAACATTAAACTCCATGTCAGGGTTCATTAGGATAAAACCAGTAAAACTGTAAAGCCCTTTTTAAAGCTGAGTGCTTTCGCTTAATGTATTTGGGGCTGTGCATATGGAATTATAACATATTTGGGGAAATAGTGCTGGGTTTGTGCTACCAGCTGGAAGCATAATTAAAACCTGTGAGAGTTACGTTGAGAGGTCCCTGAATGGATGATGAAGCTGAAATGCATGCATTATTGCTAATATATCTATCCCACTATGGTTGCAATTGGTTGTTTGGCCTCCTGGAATGTGTTGAGGGAAGGTAGCTGAGTGTTTGAGCTGAAATGCTCAAATGTATGAAGCTGTTTCCTTTTTGTATATTGCGTCTGCCATCTGTAGTGCTCCCTCAACTTACTTTTTTTTGTTCTTATAATTAATCGACCTGCTGCTGTTACATCTCGTGTTTTTCTCCTTTTCTGCCTATTACAAGTCCGTCTAGGAGAAGGATAATGAAGGGAGCTGGAGAGATATGACAGATCCCTGCTTAAGCTATAATGCGACCTGGCCCAAGTCTATTTCTGTCAGTCTTGTCCATTCTTGTCCCAGCTGTCTTCAGAAAGAACCTGGGAAGTATTATAGATCCTTGAGGACTATTTCTTTATTTAGGAGTTGTATACTATATAAAACTTAACAGAATCCTGTAGTTGCAGGTCTGTTTCTCATCTTCACATAGTAAACTTGCTTTATTCTCTTCAAAACTCAACAACAATCTGTGAACCTTTCCAGAGGAGAATGTTTCCAGTAGAAGAGTCTTGCCTCTCTGATTCATCCTCAGTTGCTCGCAGGCTAGATTCCCTAATCCTTTCGGTTTGTTTTCTCTGAAGAACTAATTTGTTTTCTTTCAGAAACATATCCATACATTGTAGAAATGTGTTCTTTTATGTTCTGTTACTCTGAAGCAATAGCTGATGGAAATAGTTGTTTATGTGATGTGTTGAAGTTAATGGCTTCTGCTGTTTCTTCCTCTTCTTATGTGCTTTCTGACAATCACTTTTGTGAAAGCTGTCATAATTTTCTTAGTTTCAAAGCATTATCTGAAGTAAAGCTTGCAAAACATGAAAGTCTTCAAAAGTGAGTTTCATCATCACAGGAAAAAAAAATTATCTTAGCCAATTTTACCATGAGGCTTGGATTCTTCTCAAAGAGAATATAGGTGTTTTTAGGAAGAATAGCTGGAATGTTTTGGGTTTTTTTGAGAAAGTGATTACTAGAAAAGAAACTGTAGATTTGGCTATGTGATCTAGTTGTGAGATGAGAGGTTTTTCTGTTAGACCACAGTTTCTCTAGAACTTTGAGTCCAGATGAGGAACTTCCAGAAGAAAAAGTGAGTTTGAGAAAATGTTGGAATGGAAGCCATGGTGATTTGCTGGTAGTTTTCTCTCCTTTTTGTTTTTTATTCTTTCTTAGCCACCTTGAAACTGGTTGCTGTTGGCAAAATAGCAACAATTAATTGTGTTGTTAATTATGGACTGATGTATTTTCAGATCTCAATAGAGAATGACTACCTAGGCCCCAGAAGAATTGAGAGTCTGCAAAAAGAAGATGCCGCTTGGCAGAGAAAAGCCCACATGGATCCTATCCATCAAATAAAAGATCTTTAAAAATTTATTTAATGTTTACCATGTTCTGTATTGTACTGGGATTTATTTTTTTCATCAGTCCTCCATGAGGAAAATGCAGTTATTATTACCATTTGTTTTTTCTTCTGTGTCTATTTGAATCTTTCACCACTACGCCTTTTCAGAACATCATCAGAAGTGAGCAGAATAGGAATTTTAGATAAAAATTTCACAACCACTTTCTCAATGTGATTGTATTAGCTGCACTTTACATTTGCGAAGGATTTAGGGAGCATAGAGTCCCTGATGGATTCTGTCTTCCATACTGGATATGGCAGACCATCATAGTAAGTGTTTATTGCCTTTCAGTTTGTTTCCTTTTCCTGTCTCCCCTGCCTTTCGGTAATTTTTTTCATAGCTCTAAATATTAAGCAACAGCTCAGTTGAACTACTTGGTGAAAGCTGCTCTGTTGTTCAGAAATCTTCGTGGATATAACCTTGGCATTTTTATGCTTGAAGAATGTGGCAGTTTTACTAAAGAGGTCGTGCAGTAAAACCAGGTGATATGATTTGCCATGTACATCAGTGTTCTCATCCTTGTATCATTTTAACTTAAGTAGTCGATTTATTAGGGCAAACACACCTGAAGATGTGGTTTCATGTCGCCTGTTTTAGTTTGACTGTGGGCTACCACTGACAGAGTTGATGTCCCACTGTCTTTCCTGCCTGACTGCGGGTTCCTGTTTCTTTCTTTACCTTGGTGCTAGTGATTGTGCAACCAGATAAATGAGTTGTACCCCTGGGAGAAAATCTTTTTTGATGGGTAGGTTTCCTGTCATCTCCCTGCATGACAGCTAGATCTGCTGTCACTGCAAAATGATTCCTTTTGGTGTCAACCCAAGTTAAGTATAACATGAAACTCCACCTTATTTTGAAAAAGTGACTAAACCAGTTCAAGCATGTTGGAATGAATTTAATTAGAGCAAATTCTAAATGTATTTAATGAGTTTGGTTCCTTTTCTAGTATGACAAAGGCAGCATAGAAAATACCCCATTAGTTGATAAAGAACGTATATTTACAGTTATTTACTTTCTGTTTTGTTCACATGCCTCTTTTATGTACAGCAGTCAGGATTGTGGGGAAAAACACTGGGAAATGAAATGCTTGGAGACCGTTTACAACCATAGACCTTTGGTGTACAGGTTGCTTGCCTGTTTCGTTAATATTTTGGGGTTTTTTGGCCTCCTGCTGATCACAGGGTGGTCTTACATACCAAAATATGGCAGAGGAAAAACACATGAGAACATAAAGATATTTTTTATTACCTAACAACACCATGTAATATCTTCTAGCAGTTGGGGACTGAATGTGTGACTTTCCTGGCTTTTGCTTTACAAAGCTAAGTGTACAGTGTCATGTGATTGTTCAGAATCTCATGTGTGTTAGCCTAGATGTTGTCTAGGGCTAAAGAATAGAAAATCTGTATCAGGCAAGGGACTCCTGCTACTCTGAAGTCTTCCTGAAAAGGTTCTCATTCATCCTTGCATATTGAGATCAGATTATAATTTGTTTTGTTAATTTGAATTAATTTTGTGAAGCAACCTGCATTTTGAGTTAAAAGATAAATGTAATTTAAATTTAATACAGTATTCTTACATAATTGCACTTGAGGTCAAGGTGAAATTTTTGTTTTAAATTGTGATTTTTTTTTCACTCTGCAGATTTGTTTACACTTGTGAGTGCACTATAGAAGTTATCAAGGGAAACTAGTAGCTGATAATTGGGGCTTTCAGAAGCAAGGAAATTGGGGATGCAGTTTAAAACCACATGGTAGCATTAATGAGATATTTTCATTAAGTCAAGAATTCTGAACCAGTGGTTCAAGTGTTCAGGTACTGTGTATTCAGAATCGTCCTTCTGTGTATAACAAAAACTGGAATTATAATGATAAAACAATCAACAAACAGCTAATTGCATATTTACATGAATCCTAAGAGTACTTACATCCTAATTTTGAAGGTTAGTACTCTGTAGCATGACTACTCCCTGCTAAGAGAACTTTGTGTGCTTTTGGATACCAATGTGTCATTGTCTTTGCAGTAGAATCACTAGTGATCTGAAGAGTAGACTGGTAAGCTGTCTGCCTTTTCTTCCTTTCTGTAGCTGTGTACGATCGAATGCGAGCAGACCAGAAAAAATTTGGTAAGGCAGCATGGGCAGCAGCAGTGGAACGTATGGAAAAGCTTCAGTATGCAGTTTCTAAGGAGACACTGCAGTTGATGCGTGCTAAAGAAATCTGTTTGGAGCAGAAGAAACATGCATTGAAAGAGGAGGTAATTTTTCATACTAATACTTAGAATTAAATTAAAGAATGTTGATGTACTTAAAGAAACCAGAACAAAACCCAAAAAACCCTGGGCTTCAAAGTCACTATTTTTCTGCTTTTAATAATAAAAGTTTTTATTTAAACTTTTACTGTTCTTTTCCACATTAGACAAATGAAGTTGCAATGTAGGTGTGGTGGTTTTTGTGCCACTTATTTATATTTTCTGTTCACCTTTTCTTGGTTAGTCAACCAGGAAGACAATTTTTACTGTTAATATTTACAGTTATCCACTGAGATGAATAAAATGAAGAGAAGGGATAGGACAGAAATCTCCTGCTGTGTAATCTCCACACTTTAGCTCTCAGAGGCATGACCACCTTTTTGGAATAGTTCTGACATTCCAGATGGAAGGTGTCTGAATATTAGTAAATACACAACACTGTGTTTAAATGTCTTAGCAGGGAAAAAAACCCACATTTATTGGGCTTTATGACACCTCCTCAAAAGCAAAAATGCTACAAATCCTCATATGGATGTTTGGTGCTAAGAACTTACTGTCATGCTAATGTTAATTTACATTCTATCCAATCAGTTGCTTGGTTTTAGAGCACTTTTCAAATGCTTCAGCAAAATTTGACTGAACCAGTGGCTCTGTTATGAAAAGGTTATACAGAGAACTCATGACTTTAGCACTGTATGGATTGGTAGGCTTGTAAGCCTGATAGACTATATGCCTATTTTAGGAGCTTCTGTAGAAGACAGCTTGATCTGCAAGGAGGGAGAGTACATGCAAGACCCAGAGCACGAAAATAAAAAGTTTGCTCCATTTCAATACTCTTTATATTTAGAAAGCCAAGAGTTGTCTGGAAACCTGAGTTTATCAGGCTGCTGGCATCCTTAGCTAAGAGTTGATGAGAGAATCCAGCAGTACTGTTTGGAAGTATTATATTTAATATGTTCACATATTTAGGGCAGCCATGCATTGTCTTTTCTGTAGCACATCTTATTTTTCTCCCAGTGGACACCTTCCATGAATTTTTGTTGAATGAGATCTCAGTCTGGTAAATGAGCGATTGATTGTTTTGATGTGCCAAAGCATTAGGGCTGCATAGGAAAAGGAGAGGTTCGTTGCAATGTACTGGGCAGTGAAGGGATCTGAACTGAGAGGTTAGGGCTTTTGGGGACAGAGAAATGAGGAACATCTGATGGATGTGCATGGGCATGGTGCTTTGGGATGGTGTATTACAAGGTATAAAGATTTCTGGGTCAAAACATGGTGATGGGGAGATACAAGGACCAACTTCTGTTCTGAAACATCTTTTTTTTTTTTATTTGAGAATGTAATAGCCCCAAGTATGCAAAGTTGGATGGGACAAATGTCACTGGGAATCCCATATTGGAGAAGAAGGGTTGCAGTCTTATCATAAAGAAAATATTTGGTGATTACGTTAGCTGGTGTATTTGGAAGAGATGACAGTAAAAAAAAAAACCAGCAACAACAGAAAATGGAAACATGATACATTTTCTCCTTTAAGCTTAAGAAGTGAAGACCTTCCTGCTGTGCTTAGGTATATAAATTTGCTCTCACTGAGCAGGAAAAGGAGATGCATAGGAAATAATATACTTGTTTCTCTTGCACTTAATTCCTTCCTCTCCAAATCTAAACTGGCCGTGCTGACTGATTTTTAAGAGGGACAGTAAAAATATCCTTGTTTCTGTAGTTTTCATTTAGTGTTTTTTTGTTTCTGAAAATGTATCGACACTGTAAATATCTAAAAAGCTACATTTTCCAAGTTATCATGATATGAAAATCACCTGGTTAGGTGATTAGGATAGTTATAATTTTTTTTTATTCGACAGCTGAAAATGTTAGCCTTGTGATTATTTGTGTTTAAAAAAATATTGAAAGAATAACTCTACACAAATACTTATCGTGCTTTTTTACTTTCCTGATTTGTACCTCTTAAGTTCCAGCTGTTGTTCTGAATTCTCTTTGAGGGGAATGATGAAAACTTTCCTTTTGAGGTAGACCAGAGTTTGCTTTTGTGGACTGGTTGCCAAGTCTTATCCTCATGACAGTAAACAGAAACATTAAATCAGAGTGAGAATCCTTTGTAATTCTCTAAGTATGTAAAATAGTTTGGACAAATGAAAGTGAGTGACTGGAGACTTAAATTCCAAGTCCCGTCTCACATATATAGGATTCAGTCACTAGTCTTCTCTTTTTTTCCTTCAGAAGCATACAGTTCAGTTCTAAAGATACACTTCAAAAACAATTTTTAATTTACATGATAAATGTTCTGTGATATTTTCATAAAGAAAATCATATTCCAACAAAGTACTGCTTGGGTTTTTTAAGAATGTTTTTCATAGTTTCATAATTCTAAGAGTACTTTCCTTTCCTTTCCTGTACATTGAACCTGAATCAAAGATATGTTTGCTTTCAATGACTTTGAGTATTTAAGCATATCTTGCATTTCGTGACTGTCATTTTACTTTTGCCTGAGTTTGATGCATCAGCTAAGATAGGAATTTTATTAAAGATTCTATTCAAGAAGGCATGAATAGCTGTTTCTGGAAAATTAATCTTCTTTCTGTAAGAAATGGACAGTTATTTTGGTACAGATGCAACACAGTATTTTTTGGAAAAGTATGTTTCACCTTGGTAGCTTTCATCGTATCTTTTTAAAAGCTTTTTCTTTCTGTGACAGCTTTTTGGAAAGCCTAAGTATGAAGCTAAAACTGGGAAATCTTTGAAGATTTATTTAAACATATTAGAATTATTATTTTTAATAACAGATTAGGAATGCTTTTGCCTTCTTCACTTTCAGTGTTCAAATTGGCAAACTAAAATTGGTCATAAAAATGACTGTCTTTTTCTTTAATCTTACATTAAATATTTGTGTAATATTCTTCAGTTCAAAAGACTTAGAAATAAAAACTATTTTAAGTGGTCATTGTGTTTAAAGAAAATAGAAGGCAGAAAGCTTTAAGCATCCCAGGTGAAGTAATGAGGTACATTCTGTGGACAAAACTTGGAGTCATAGTTAGGCTTTTAATAATGCAGTGAGACATTAGAAAATTACTCATTAATAATGATAACCTACTTTGGACTTAATAGTTATCAAAACCCACGTAAGGTCTTTTGAAATAACATTATTAGAACATAATTTATTTTTGTACTTTTTTTTTCCCCAGAGAATGACTGGGTAATCTATTCTAAAGAGTAGTAAAGAGGGCAAACCCCAGCATTTGAAGAGACTTCTTTTGTTTTAAGGATTTTGTACATCACTGACATTTAGTTTCCATTTGCCGAGAGAAGGAAAAAGATCGGGTATTTATGGTCACTTAAAGACTCACTGCAGTGTTAGAAAATCAGAACTGAAATACATTCTCTGGCAAATGGTTTAGCTACTGTTTCCTAGACATAGAAGACAAAAACAGGATATTGCTTTAAAAAGATTAAAATGCTCAAGAAAATAATTTAGCGGGGTTTGAGTTGAGGATTAAAACAGAAAGAATGACAATTCAGATCAAAGACCAGGTCTGACTGTTTATGAGGACATTGTTGGTCATCAGCAGGTTGTCGATGGATTTTTGAACATTTAGTCTTGGAAAAGAAATAAGTTTATAAAAGCAGTGGTACACCCTTTTCATAGAGAAAAGATGTTTCTTTTAGTGTCTGAAATTTTTCTGATTGCCCAGGAGACTAATTGTGAGTGGTCATCTTACAATATTATAAAAAAATAAGGTTATCTGGTAGTATCATGGCCTGACTATAGCTGACTCCTGATACTTAATTGGTTGGAGGAGTACTTCTGTTCTACAAGTTGCTAGGTATGAGTGAGAGCCTGCCTTTTTCAGTGACCAAAGTGCTCTGTGTTTCCATTAAAATAATTTAGAAATTCTTTAAATTTAACTTCTCTTGGTTTCAAGGATGAGCTTCCATATTCACACTTGAAGACCTGAGTATTTTTCTGAATTTTACTCCATTCTTCTGAGATTTCTTAGACAGCAACAGTGATGAATTAAAATGAATACTTGAACTAGAGAACAGTCAGGATTCACATGGGGTGGACTGAAACATGACTTTGTATTCTAGTTGAACAGTTAACAGATTACTTAAAAGACTGGATAATAGAAAATTTAATAATGGCTATTAATATGTGTTGCTAGGGAAAAGTAATACAAAATTTTACCGTGAACTGCAGGTTAATTAGTTTTTAAGTGACAGCGGATGAAAATGACCATGGTCTTACAACCTAGTAGCAATGCAATTGAGCCACCAATGGAACAGGGTGGTGCAGCAGCAGATGCTCTCCAGTCTGTCAAATCAGGTATTTCCAGCAAAGAGAGATGTGTTAGTGTCACTGCACATTGACTTGTGAGGTTTCTTCTACACCTTTCTTCCATATGCTTCTGATCACCCAAGAAAGAACAGTTTTAACTGGAGCAAGTGCAAGGAGAGCTACCACAATGATGCCTATTTTACAAGAGGAAGTTGTTTTGATAAATAAAATGAAGGCTGAGATGAAAATTGCTGGCCACAAAAATAGGAGAGTTGGGCCTAGTAGCCCAACTGTAGGACCTGTTGCAATAGGACAAGGAGTAATGGTTTTAAACTAAGAGGGTAGATTCAGACCAGACGTAAGGAAGATATTTTTTACAATGAGGGTGGTGAAACACTGGAACAGGTTGCCCAGAGAGGTGGTAGATGCCCCAATCCCTGGAAACATGCAAGGTCAGGTTGGACGTGGCTGTGAGCAACCTGACCTCGTTGAATACGTCCCTGCTCATTGCAGGGGGTTTGGACTAGATGACCTTTAAAGGTCCCTTCCAACCCAAACTATTCTGTGATTCTATGAAAAATACTAATGGGAATAAATATTAGTGAAGAGCAATGTGTGTTGCTGTTCAGTACTGGCGCAAGAACAAATGGTATTATCTGATTGTGAAAACATTGGAAATACAGAAGAAGGTTTCTGGCAGTTAGGAGGGAGTATCTGGAACAGACTTCCAATGGGAGTAACAAACACAGAGTTTTCTGGAAGCTTTTTGTTTTGCTTTTGTTTTTACAAAAGCAGAATAAGAACAACAATAACAACATGGAAATTATTTTAAGAACTCAGTTTATGAAAGCAGTTAATTTTAGATTTGTCTGAAGGCATTCCGTGGTGGTGGAAAGCTGGATTTGATGGCCCTCACTTCTGTATTCCATGTTTGGCTATTTTTCTATTAATTTGGTCATCTATCCATTTAGTATGTGTGTTCATAGTTCTTGTCAGAGGCTTTCTGTTTTAAGCCATTTTATCTTTATTACCAATGTGTGGGTTTACAGATGATATATTTCTGCTCTAGAACTGTTGGGAACCATGAGTTCCTGCTTAAGTTCTTTGCTTAGCATGAATGAGACAACAAAGACAGTAAATGCTGTTACTTGAATTAGGGCCAGAGAGATTAAATTATTTTCTTGAGTTAATGCAGGAGGTTGTGGCATAGCAGGAAATTGAACTCGGATCTCCTCAGTTCTAGTTCTTTGTCCAACTGCAAAATGTTTCTTTCCTCTAATATTCTCACATTAAAGTTCTTCCTGTTTCTTTCAGCATGTTGATCAGCCTGAGACCTACCAAGGATGCAGCAAATTACTAGTACAGATTGGATAGCAACTTGTAACATTAAGAACTGAACCACTCTTAAATTTTTAACAAAAAATGCTGAAATTTTCCCAAGAGTGATGGTATTGTTTTGAATTATCACACATATATAGTATCTCACATAAACTTTTAACATAAATCGTTGAAATTAAAGGTCCCCATTTTTCATGAGGGGCTATTATGTATCTAGGATATCTGCCTGAGAACCATATGACTATATTAATTTCCCATTGCTGTTGCACCTGAAAACTGAATATCATAGAATCATAGAATCGTTAAGGTTGGAAAAGACCCTTAAGATCATCGAGTCCAACCGTTAACCTAGCACTGCCAAGTCCACCACTAAACCATGTCCCTAAGCACCACGTCTACCCGTCTTTTAAATGCCTCCAGGGATGGAGACTCAACCACTTCCCTGGGCAGCCTGGTCCAGTCCCTGACAACCCTTTTGGTGAAGAGGTTTTTCCTAATATTCAACCTAAACTTCCCCTGGTGCAGCTTGAGGCCATTTCCTCTCATCCTGACACTTGTTAGTTGGAGAAGAGACCGACCCCCCACCTCGCTACAACCTCCTTTCAGGTAGCTGTAGAGAGCAATAAGGTCTCCCCTCAGCCTCCTCTTCTCCAGACTAAACAACCCCAGTTCCCTCAGCTGCTCCTCACAGGACTTGTGCTCCAGACCCTTCACCAGCTTTGTTGCT